GTGTGTGTGTGTGTGTGTGTGTGTGTGTTTTCATGTTCACAACAACTCCACGAAAAAGCATGTGCAAGGCTCAGGGTCCTCGGTAGGCCTATGGGGCCCTGTTTGCAGCATTGCCTGCCCTAAGTGAAGGTGGGCCTGACATATCTCAAGAGGCCCTTCACTGTCAATTTCATATTCGGGGTCCAGGCAGCTGCGACGCGCCAGTTGGTTGAGAGAAACTCACACCGGGCAACAAAGACATTTCCACGGCCTTCCGGGCCTTTCCAAAGAATGCAGGCCCTGGGCGTGATTCGCAGCCTCATACAGAGACAGTTGGGCGCCCAACCGAATGAGGCCCAGCAGCCCAGTAGCTGCTGTACACAGGCAGGCTCCTGGGGCCTTCCGGAAGCTTCTGGGCCCAGGCCAGGGCATCCAGGCTGCGCGAGCAGGCCAGCTCTTTCCATAAAGGAAAGAGCTCACCCCTGGCAGCCTCATTCAGGCACTCGCATGCTAGCGGCAGCGCTGCTGGAGCAAGAGCTCGTGGCTGCTGGCTGGCGCTGAGAGGCGAGGTGCAGCACGTGTGGTCGTGCAGGGAAGAAGGGCGCTGCTGAGGGCAGCGCCATAGCCTAGCCACCATAGCTGGTGGGCTTGGTCTACAGTGAGGCGCAGGGGTGGTCTTTGGGTGTAAGAGAGGACAGACGTGGGAGGAATGTCAGGGGATAGGTGAAGGATGATGATGATGATGATGTGAGGGCACTTACCTTGTATTGGCGATGGTCTGCATGGGCGACATCTTCAAGTACTTCGGGTTGCTGCTGATGTCAACAGTTGCATTGTCAATTAGTAGGCTGTAGTAGCTGTGTTAGGAGTAGGCTGGGCGCTGAGCGCTAAGTAGGAGAGTGAAGGGATTGGACTCTTGTGTGATGAGGAGAGAGTATGCTCTCCATGACGTTGGTTTTCAGTTCTACGAACCTCCATTGGTGTATTATTGGTGCAATGCTGCTCCCTGGACACGGTGTGACTATCTGGCTTTCAATGTGATGGTGTAATCTGGAATTGTCATCTCGCTGTTGCTTATTTTCCTTGCACATGACTGAGCCAGTCTGTTCTGTGGGGGACTTTCACCGAGTCATCAGGAGGTTGTGTGTGTGTGTGTGTGACACTCCACCTCCCAACAGTCTATGTTGTATGGCACTGCATGCATGGTCTGTGTGTGAGTGTCTGTGCGTGTGCACACGATATGGAACCTCCCAGCAACCTATTATGTGTATGGGCAGTGCAGATGCTATGTGTGTGCGATTGTGAAAGGTCCATACCACTTTGTGTGCTTGGAGTGTGTATAGCTGACACGTGTGTGCTTCGACTGTGTACAGCTGGCACATGCCTGTGCATGCATGCCAGCATGTCGGATGCTGATTTTATTTGTTGGGTAAAACTTGAACTGTTAACTGCCAATATGTCTTTCGACTTCCCCCTTTCCCCTTCCCCTTCCCCTTCCCCTTCCCCTTCCCCTTCCCCTTCCCCCCTCCGCCTCCCTCCACCTCGAGTTTGGAGTGCCATTCATGTGCTATGTTTTATCCAATGTTTGGGTGAGAGAGAACATGGTTGGTGGCTAATCTCCGTTCCTTTCTATCAGGAGGGCAGGTGTGGCAGCCAAGGTCTGGGAGCCCCAAGCTGTGCGACAGAGACACCAGGCATTGGTCGAACAATCACCAGTTGACGTAGGTGCGAGGATTGAGGCGCTGAGGAACGAGATGGCAGTTTGCAGGGAGGCAGTTGAACGATTGACACGATGCATGGTGAGTGCCAAAGGCGGGAAGAGAGGGAAGGGTGGCTTCTCCGGTCCATGCTAAGCGATGGAATAATCGAGGACGCATGATGGGTGCAGATAGGAAATGGAGAGAAGAGAGGGAGGGGGGAGGAGGGGGGAAGGAAGAGATAGCTTAACTGTGGTGCTTTGTTTGGCTTTACACCTGGGGCACAAGCATGTGTGCATACAAGTTCTCCTGTGAGAGTGCCATGACAGATTGGTCGTACACTGGATCGATACATGCATGATAGGCCTCTCATGGTGGTTTTTCTGGTCTGGCGATATCACACCCATCTGGCTTTCTGTTAAAGTCGGCTTTAAACCACCAGTACCTTTGCCGTCCAGTTCCGACAAGTTTTTGTCTAGTCCCGAACTTTTAGGAGGCCGGGCCCGACAACGGCTGCCGTTGATAAATCTGATCGGTGGCCGTCGTTTTGTTTTGGCCTCCTGAAAGGTCGGACGCCCACTATTTTCCAAATCGACAAAGGTACCCGTGGTTTAAGGAGGGATAGCCATGCTATATGCAGACTACCTAAGAGAGTCAGCCCTCAAGTGGTTGCTTCTAGGTCTGAAGGAGATATCCTATCACATGGAATCTGAAAGATGGATGGGAGAAGCGTTTTCCTATATAGACAGATATAGTTCTTACATAGTCAGAGTCCAGGCACCAAGAACCACCCTCGTGAACCTCCTGGAGTCCAGGCACCAAGAACCACCCTCGTGAACCTCCATTCGAAAACCAGGACAGGTAACTAACAGGTAAAGTGAGATGGGTGAAAGTGAAGTCCCCTGCAGTACATTTCAACCCTAGCTCCCCGATCCAAACCCTCACCCTTCCCCTTTGCCATTCCAATCCTGTGGATGGGTTTTATGAGATTGACAGAGTCCTTCGAACATGATGGGAATGGGCTGGCTCAAACATATCGCATTTGACTCCTCTATCAGCAGCCCCATCCGAAGATCTTCGATGGGACAAGAGGGAGTAAGGACTGCTAGAGGAGTTCTAGAGTCCCGTGAAGCTACACTGAAGTAACAGTGCACTTGTAAGGCTTAACCAAGATTAAGGGAGCATAGTCGGGCTTCGGAGGGGAAGCCAAATTGGATACCACATCTGGTCAGCAGCTTGGGCTCTCAATATCTTGGAGACTTGGAAGACCTCAACTTGGGACGGTGGGCAGTGGGAGTGCAATAGTGACCTGTGGTCTTGCAGCGTTGAAAGTCCGCGGCAGGACCAAGCTGCAGACCAGGCGTGGGATGTAATATTGTATAAATCCGTGAGACTCTCTGCGAACTCGCCAACCTGGCCACCCACTTTGTGGGGGCCTTGTATCTCCTGTTGTGAGGGAATGAGCCCTCGGCAGGAACACAAGGGCCCCGTGGTTCGTGCCTCATGCCCGCCCTAACTGAAGGCCGACCTGCATTTCCCCAAGAGGCCTATTTTTGGCACTTCAGAGGACTTGGGGGCACCAGACAGTTACTGGGCGCCAGTTGGTTACAGGGCCCTGCATGCCTTTTAGGCTCTTCCAGGCAGCGGCGTGGAAATAGGCCTTTCGGCCAATCAGGAAGCACCAAGCGACGACATCCACGTCGGACAGTTGGGCACGCGTAACTGTTTTGGTTCCAGGCCAGTATCTGAAATGGGCCTGGGCGCAGACACTTTGGCCCAACGTGAAGCTACTGGGTACGGGGTTGCCAGGCCCAGGCTTCCAACAGAGGCAAGCACTTTCAATCTAGGAAAGTGCCCGTCTGCTTGCCAGGAATTCTGGCCTGGCAGCTCTGTGCGGCAGCGCTGCTGGACCATAGCACTGAGAGGCCACTGGGCATTCCCGCTGGGGCGCACACGGGTGCAGGTGAGCGCTGCTGCAAGCAGCGCTGGAGCGCAGCCAGCCATAGCCAGGCTGCTGCTCCGGTATGCCATTGGGGTATGGCAGTGGTCCTTGGGATACGAGGGATGTTACGTGGGGGAAGACAAAGTTGAGAGAGAGAGAGGAACGTACCTGGTTGTGCCGTGGAGGTCTGCATGGGCGGCATCTTCGTGTACAAGTGGTCAGCTGTTGTTGTTCCAGTTGCATCGTCATGGTAGTTTAGGCGCTGTATGATTGTAGTCTGGGCTCTGGGCGCCAATAGGGAAGAGACATTGAATACATTGTTGATGGTGGCGAGAAGGGGCTGACATTGATATTGAGTTCATTGCTTTGGTCTCCATTGGTGTCACACACTGTGTCACACGGGCCCGGTTAGGCCCGACAGATAGGGGTTCGGAGGCCGGTCCAGGCCCAAGGCCGGACCCTTAGACCGGAGGCGCCACTGTAGGCCCACCGGTTGGCCTTTAGGCCACAATTTAGGACCGGACCAGACGGGCAGGCCCAAACGACATTACCGTTGGGCCTGGCGGCGCTCTTGAGGCTGCCGCCCGCCGGTCTGATCTGAATCGTCAATTTTGACGATTCAGATCACGGCTCGGCCTCGCAGCATAGAGGCCGGCCTTCCACACCGGTACTTAGGTACCAGGAGGCCGCCTTCTCAGGCATTCTAGAGGAGCAGCATTTCGGAGGAGCGCTGCGCTATTTCTGTTTAGAGCGCAGCGCCACAGCAGCAGTGCGAGTTAGCGCTAGACCGCAGTTGAGGATAGAGAGAGAGCGAGGTACTTACCTGGCACTTACCTGTGCCGCCATAGCTTCGGAGGACTTCGACTTCAGAGGACTTCTACTCCAGGCGCCACCTTGCATCCTGCAGGTAAGGCTTAGGGCCAGGACAGGGCAGTGAGGATTCTCCTCCTCCCTACCTCGCCATCTCTCCCTCCTCCTCTGCTATCTCCTCTTCTTCCTCTTCTTCTTCTTCAGACTTCATCTTCCTCTTCTTATTCAGATTGGAGACTTTGATACGAGTTGGACAGAGATCAGTGTTTGGACTTCGGTGGTAAGAGGATGTGATACTTACCGGATTCGAGACTTGGAGATAGTCGGGATTGGTACTCGGCGGCATCACAGATTGGACACCGGTTGTATTAGGACTCTGTACCTCCGACATTGGTGACTTATTGTACACGACATTCTGATCATGTTCGAGGACATTTTGGACTACCATATCGGTGACCTATTGGATTCTATCTCGGTGACATTTGGCGCTGCCTACACCTCCCACCTCCATCGTCTCTCCTCCCACCTTTCGTCTGTGTATGGTTGTACGGGGCCTGAGCATCGTCTATGATTGGCTCAGACCCCACCATCTCACGATTGTTTGTGTGTTGAGTGATCTGTATGAGTTCAGTCTATGTGAGTCAGTCCATTTCTCAGACTTCCGCTGCATACATGCTCATCCTATATTGGTTGATCTTTGGTTCTGCCCATACTTGTTGAAGTATTCACGAGTATGCAACAATTGGTGTGTAACTTGGTGCTATGGTGCTTTCTGGGCAGTGCTTGACAATCTGGCTTTCAATGTGATGTTGCAATTTGGATCTGTCATTTCGCCCTCGCTCATTATCCTTGCACTATCAAGGGGTGTAAGAGAAAAATGTCGCCTGTCGATTAACCGCATGAGCTAGGAAATCTTGCACGAACTGGAGAGCTGTGCTGGGCGTGATTCATGTCTCATTACACATGGATGGATGGATGGATGGATGGATGGATGGATGGATGGATCGACTTCAAAGAATAGTCAGGCAACTCATGAGCGACCAGCTGCATGCCCATCTGGTATACTATTCTCCTGCTTTTAAGGATTTGAAAACGAAGCCACAATGTGTCTCCCCGAGAACGAAAAGCTGAGCTGAGAACAACAATTTTCACTACGTATTAAATGTCTGATGTGCGGCGTGATTGGTGCATATGTTGCTGAGATGCAGTCCAATTTGGCTATCCCTCCTAAAGCTTGGCTATATCTCCTTGACCCTGGTTAAGCCTTCACAGCTGAGGTGCAATCCAAGGTCCCTCCCAAGTGTTCTGGCAACCTTGGCTATCCCTGCTAAAGCTTGTCTATGTCTCCTTAACTGTGGTTAAGCCTTCCCAGCTGAGTTGGAATCCTCTGTTGAAGCCTTCCCAAGCCTTAGCCCCAGTTAATCCTTGTCAAGCGTCAACCCCGGTTAAGTCTTCCCAAGGCTTGAGATGCCAGCTCTGCTCTCCATGGTTTTGTCCTGCTCCTCTTTACACCCCACCAAGATTGCTCCTCCACAGCTATTGCTATATTTCCACCAAGCCCTTCCATTGGACTGCTTTGCTCATGGTTTCCTCGCTATGCCTCCGTAACCCTAACCCTGGTTAAGCTTTCCCAGCCATACCAGATATTGACATTGACAATTATCACTTGTGGTAACATTCCTGTGCTTGCCGTTGGCTCGCAGAACCGCAAAAAACTTCTACTTCAAGCAGAAGAAGAAGAGCTCGTTGCATTAGTATCTGGTGGTAGTCCTGCCAAGGGAGTTAGAAAAAATTTACCTTTGGCATCGCCTGGAGCGGAGAAAAAGGCGGGGAGATCGGCTAAGCTGCGACAAGAGTTGGCACCCAGGCACTGCCAGTGGGCAGAGTCATCGGCAGTCGGAAGGGTCACCATCAGAGAGGGCATCACCTATTTTGACCCGGAGGCGAGACACTCAGACCCCTACCCAACAACAACAACATCTGCTTTTTCTGCCTCCACCCTTGCCTCCACCTCAACCTCTCCCATCACGACCTATTCCCACTTCGCTTAGGAGGTCGGCATCCCCGTTGGGAACAAAAACTGCTGTCACAAGCAGTTACTGATATTGGATAATAGAATCTAAATGACTCTGTTCCTCCACACACACAAAAAAAAGAAGCTATGAGGAGAATGACAAGGTGTGAAACTACGAGGAGATGGCCTGACCTGGTATGCGTGCAAGAAACGACTTACAACATACACCTGCCCACACAACAAAAGCCAAGGCCATATGGCCATACACAACATCTGCAGGGACGGCCAGGCCAAAGCTCACTGCAGGTGTGGCCATTTGGCTCCCTCCAACATTGAGGTTAATGTCTCTAGCAGTCAATGGCGACAAGAGATAAGGGAGATGAGTAGTCTTGAAAGTAGTTGCATGGGGGGATGAGGTCTCGACATAATGAATGTGTACGCTCGACCGAATAGAGAGAAGAGAATTCCTGCTCACCCTGCAGCAGATTCTCCCTACAGATGCACCGATAATCATTGCCACAGTTGATCCCCAACTAGATAGGTGGTCTTCATTGCAAGCTGCAGCCATGAGAGCAGCAGAGAACCATCTTCCCGCACATGTGCTGGCATTGAGACAAATGATGTCAGAATGGCAGCTAGAAGATGCCTGCTGGAAAATGTGGCGGGTACCATCAGTCTGGGTTAAAATCTTCGCTGTCCATATGTTGTATGAGTGGCCCTGCGTTCCCTACATGCACGGTCGAACACAAGTTGATAGACCAGGTCTATGTGGTGCGTATGCATCGCCTGAGGGAAGGGAAAAGGCAAAGGAAGGAGAGCCTAAGGAAGTGGGCGAGTTAGTAGCACCCGAAGTTCAAAAACTGTTAGCAATATTATCAGATGTCCTGCAGGAGCCTGAGGGAATAGTAGAGAGGCCAATCAAGCACCATATTGAGATAGGACTAGGTAGTAAGATTCCCAAGGGTTCGATTTATAAGATGGCAGAACATGAGCTAGAAGAGCTGAGAAATATTTACTAGGAGGGAAGGGGAATTTAGACTGTGTTTAGTCTATAGAGGTTTGAGTGCAGAACTACTATGGTTGGATATGCTAGAGGGTTGCAAGCATTTTTCTAAGAAGTCCAGTTACCATCAGATCGATGTGGCCCCTGAAGATCAGCACGAGATAGCCTTCAGGACTAGGTACAGTCACTATGAGTTCGATGTGATGCCTTTTGGACTGGCTAACAATGCCTCTGCTACCTTCCAACGTTGCATGAACGACATATTCAGAGACAGACTTGACACATCTGTAGTTGTTTACTTAGACATCGTAGTCTTTAACAAGACTTTACCAAGACTCTAGAAGAACACAAGGAGCATCTGTGCAAAATCCTGATGAAATCTAGAGAAAATAAGTTCGAGGCAAATCCAGGTACGTCCAACAAAGTTTGAGCGGGCAAGGATAGGGGTGTTGTATCTTGGTCATGTCGTAGATGGAGATGAGTCCAGCCAGATGACACTAAGATCACAGCCTTTTAGAAACTGGCTGACGCCCAAGAACCTCACGGATGTACGCTCATTCCTGGGATTGCCCAACTACTACATAAAGTTTGTAGCGTCGGCAAAGCATCAACAAGCAATGTGCATCCAGATACATACGAAAATAGCATAATGTAGCGCAACGGAAGACTCAAATATATGACCTGACCTGTCAGATACTGACGCGACACCCCATGATACACCACACATGTGAGAGAGAGGAGGGACGGCATACATAGAAGAAAGGTCCCTCCTTGATCACGCACATGGGGAGATACCACGGATGAGGAGATGGGGGGGTGAGGCGAGACGAAGATGGAGATGAGGGAGAAGACCAAGATCATGATAGCGAAGTCCAAAAATAGTCTCCCTGCCGAATGTCCAATCAATGTCTGCCACAAAAATGTTGAATCAGATCCTGGGCCTTGTGTCTCGATGTAACCTCTGCCTGTAACCTCTCTCTCTCTCTCTCTCTCTCTCTCTCTCTCTCTCTCTCTCTCTCTCTCTCTCTCTCTCTCNTCTCTCTCTCTCTCTCTCTCTCTCTCTCTCTCTCTCTCTCTCTCTCTCTCTCTCTCTCTCTCTCTCTCTCTCTCTCTCTCTCTGAAAGAAGAAAAAGAAGAAGAAGAAGAAAAAGAAGAAGAAGAAGAAGACCTCACTCTCTCTCTCTCTCTCTCTCTCTCTCTCTGAAAGAAGAAAAGAAGAAGAAGAAGAAGAAGAAGAAGAAGAAGAAGAAGAAGAGGGAAGGAGGAATAAGTAGAGATGGAGGGCGAGAGCAAGAAGAAGAAGAAGATGTCGTCCTGCTCGCTGTCTCACCTGCTGGTAACTGCCACCATTTACTAACTGTCGCTGTGTGTCTCCTCTGTGCTGCAGGGCGCTGGCGCGAAGTTCGGCTATGGCGCCCAGGTGAGATCTCTGCTGACGCAGGTATGGCCTCCGCCTCAGTCCCTACCTACAGCTCTACCTCTAGCATAGCATTGTCGTGCTGCTCCAGCAGCATGTCACCCAAGAAGTGAGCTACTCGAACTGTGTCTGCCCTGGCATGGCCCAGCTATAAGTAGCGCTGGGCCTCGCGGGTGTGCCCTCCGTGTGCCTTTGGTCCTAGACCTAAAACGGACTGCCTGGGTCCCTACCAGACGTCCAGGTGCTCAGCAGGGACTTTCCGCTATCGGACAAAAGTGGACCTGGCCCAACAGGGCCTGCCTATGTCCGTACCAGGCCAAAAACGTGGACTTCTGTTCGGATGTAATGAACTGCAAGTCCGAAATGACGCCTGAACAGACAAAAATAGGACAGCAAATAAATAAATTAATGAATGCTGCCTCAAATCGAAACCTGCGGCGCTAAGGCCGGCGGTGGGTCTCCAGGGCGCATGTCGGAAGGCGTGCGACCTGGGGCCCCCAAGCAACCATCGAGAGACGGTTGGAGGGGGTTAACTTGGGGCTGAAAGTGGGGGGTCGCTGTTAACCGATAGTGTCGGGCCCCCAGAATGGGGCCCCTGGCTCAGCATGTTACAGACAAAGAATGCACTTCACCGTTGAAGGAATTGAAGACAAAGAATGCACTTCACCGTTGAAGGAATTGAAGACAAAGAATGCACTTCACCGTTGAAGGAATTGAAGAAAGCGTTGATGGAATACCCAATAATATTGATGATTGCAAGTCTATCCTTGCCATTTGTGGTGGCCACGGACGTTAGGGGCTGTATTTTACAGTATAGCCACTACAAGGGATATAGACTGGTGGCCCGTTTGAGTTGATGTCCAAAGAAAAGACTACTTTCAGATAAAGTTGCAAACTCTACCCGTGAACGCCTTTTATGAAGCCCTACTGACACGGGGACATCCCTTGTTAGGACGGCATTTTAAGGGCAACTCAGATCACGAGACCCTATGCTGGTTGAAGTGCAGTCCTTGTCCCTATGCTGCTTAAGACACGTGCACGAATGTCTACTACGTTTTCAAAGATGGGCTACGGAGATAGATGAAGTCGACGTTGGGTTAAAACCTGTGAGAGGGAAGTATAATGGTGTCACCGATGCGATGTCCATAATGGCAGATTTCTTTGGAATGATAGCTACCTCTACTTAGATACAGGGAAGGACTTGCAGCAGAAGACCAGAGATGCCTATGAATTACATCTTATCTATAGAGCAGTTATAGCAAGGGTAAAGGAGAGACCGCATGAATGGCCAGATTGTAGGATAGTTGGCGGATCGCTGTTTCCCACAGCTGGTGGTGAAAATCGCATGTGCTCCCTCCAGTGAAGGAATCAAGAGTTTCATCATAGGGGCGGCCCTCGGTTCAGAGGGACATTTCGGTTGGAGAAAGACCTATGCTAGCTTACTGTGATGGTATACATGACCAGGAATGAGCCAGACTATATCACCTATGTACATGAGTGTAAAGTATGCCAAAGGAACAAGAGTACGACTCGAGCTCCATTACGACTGCTAAGACCTTTATGCAATCAGACTCGCTTTCTTCTTCGCTTCACATACATGCAAACAGATGGCGAATCACACTGGCACACAGCGCCCACTCAAAACTCAGAGATATGGAAATCGAGAACTCAGTTCGGATGCAAACTTGCTTCCACAGGCTATGGCGCATAAGCGCCTGCACATCCAACCCTCGATACTGTTTCCAACACCACTGTTCAAACTCACTCAACTCTGGATCACCCTGAATACCCCACACACATACACATTCTTGCGTCTCTCTCCTACCTACAGCGGCTATGGCCGCTTAACCACTAACTATGGCTATGCTAACTTCTTCCAGCCCTCTTCGACCTCGGGCGCTCTGCAGACCACCTCGCACAAGTCGCTTGAGACAGCGCTTCCGCATGGCTTACACAGCGAATGAATGAATCCCTGGACGCTGCCTCTTGATTTATACTTCTGTTTGTCGCTGGTCTGCCCCTTTCCTCCAGGCCCTCGGTGCACTTGCTTGACTGGACTGCGACTGACTGGACCGGTACCGCTGACTGCACGTCGTTGCACTGCCGACTCGATGCAGTCGCACTGCCTACTCGACGCAGCTGGACCTACGACTTACCTACAGACCTCTACCCAAGCAGTTTCTACACATCTGTAACCCCTACTTGACAGATCTACAGATCGAACCCCTAACTACAGGGACCTATGACAAGCTACAGTCACTACCAAAACACAGGTCGCGGGTTCAAAACACACGGGGGTCTACTCGATACTGTACACAGGTGCAGGTAAGGTCTAGGGATCGAACCCTCGGATCTGCATCTGCTTCTGCAAAGGTGAAAACCGTTTCATTTACCTCTTCCCTCAGGAGCTGATGATCCGGTACAAGAAAGCAACCCCGCTGCAATCAGACTCGCTTACGTTTCCACTTCGCATTCACGCAAACAGATGGCAAGTCACACTGGCGCGCCCACTCAAAGCTCAGAGATATGTAAGTCGGAAACACAGTTCAGATACCTACTCGCTTCAACAGGCTATGGCGCATCAGCGCCTGTACAACTCTCTGTTTGTCACTGTGCTCAACTCCGGTGTTCACACACATTCAACTCAGGATCACCCTGGATATCCCACACGTGACACACTGTATCACACACACGCACACACTACACTCGCCTACCACCTACGGCGGCTATGGCCACTTAACCCTGCTGGCTATGGCTACGCAACCCCTACTGTGCCCATTTCGTCTTCGGGCGCTCTGCAGAACACCTCGCACAAGTCGCTCAAGCAGGGCTTCCGCATGGCTTACGCAGGAATGAATGAATGGCTGGGCGCTGCCTCTTGATTTATACTTCTGTAACTCGTTGGCCTGCCCCTTTCTCATGCCCTTGGTGCACACAGCCCCAAACGGTACTTGCTTGACTTGACTGTGACTGACTGGGACCGGTACCGCTGACTGCATGGTTTGCACTGCCAACTCGATGCAGTCGCACTGCCGACGTAACGCAGTTGGGCTCACCACTTGCCCACTTGCCTCTGTCCAAACGTGAGACAACTTCGAAAGGCCACTTCCGGACCTTCCGGAAGTCTGTGGGCTTGGCCTTTCGAACACTGTAGCAGCTACGACCTTGACCTTTCAGGACTGTAGCAGCTATGACCTTGACCCTTCAGAAGAGTTACAGCTACGACTTCTAGACTCACTAAGACCTCTATCCTGCAGGTCTACAGATCGAACCCCTACAACCTACGGACCTACAACAGCCTATCAACTGTTGTGAATACATAGGTCACGGGTTCAACTATCGGGGTCGACACAGATACTGTACACAAGTGAGGTAAGAACTAGGCATCGAGCCCTGGGATCTGCATTCGCTACTGCTAACAGGTGAATACCGTTTCACTCCCTCCGGCCTAAATTCGAGGTCCTCCGAGAATAATTCAGTCCAAGACCGGATTTCTACCTTTCCTTTCTCTCTCGTAGGCCCTAACTACGTCGGGAGCTGTTTCTAGAAGTTCAGTTCTAGTAAACCAGCGGTCGTCCTCGGGTTCCTGATAAGCAAATCGGACCTTGTACAGTTTCTGTGGACGACCTCTACCTCCTGTTCTGAATACGTCTTCACCTACAATGCCCCCAATGTCATATCTTCCATCCATGTCCGGAGGGATCATGGATCTTCTTGATGGAAACTGTTGACTTGTGACACACGTCAATAACTTTGACGCATGGAACACAAGGTAGGTGTGGAGGTGTGCTGGGATCTCTATCGTATAGGACGGTCCATCCTCTCCGCCCTTAACTTCTAGAACTGGCCACGGTCCTCTGTATGCTGGCAGAAAATGTTTTCCTCAGGAGCAAACTCTTTGTACTTGACCCAGACTAAGTCGCCTACTTGAAACTGTGATGGGTGACGGTGCTTGTTAGCTTGCTCTATCATTCGGTGCTGGGCCTTCCTGAGGTTTTCGACAACGGTAGCTAACTCCTTCTCGTGCTGTATCGCAAACTCCCTGGTACCAGGCGGTAGCCTATGAATCTGGTCCTGGTTAAGGCCTTCAAATGGTCTGCGCGGTCTAAAGGACTTATGCAACTCATTGGGAGTACGACAGGTGGCTAGGTGCACGGTGTTGTTATATGCACTGGCTACCTTGGGCAACATCTCGTCCCAGTTGACTTGATCTGGTCTAATGTACATACGCAGGACTTGCTGCAGGATCTTATTCATCTGCTCTGTCTGACCCTTAGTCTCTGGGTGACGGCCAGACGACATCAACAATTTTGAGCCGTATACTCTCATTAACTCATGCCAGTTCTGACTTGTAAACCGGGTGTCCCTATCGCTAACTGTGGGCAATGGGATCCCGTGATCACTAATCCAAAAGTAAAAAAACTTTTGAATGACTAACTCTGTACGGGCTTCTGCGGGTAAGGGAACAAAAACAGCATACTTGCTAAATCTATCCACTATTACCACGACTTGGCTCTTGCCATGCCTACTCTTGACACTAGCATCCATGAAATTGATGGATACTAGATCGCCAGACTGATCAGGTATGGGCAAGAGTCGAAGAAGACCTAGAGGGGCACGCGTAGTTGTCTTATTCCTCTGACAGACTTTGCAACTGTGAACGTACTCTATGCAGTCGGCTTTCATTTCTGGCCAAGTATACGCTTGCATCAGATTGGCTGGAGTCTTTTGCCAACCGAAATGTCCCTCTGTGTCGTGGCATTCCCCTATGATCAAACTACGGATCTCCTCTCTATTAGGAATGCACAAACGGTCTACTACGTTGGTCTTCTCAAACAGTAATCCCTCTGTAGTGTGGTAATCTGGTTCAGTCTCTAGGGCCTCCTTGACTTTCTTGAGGAGGTCACTGTAAATAGGGTCCTACGCATACGCCTGTCTTGCTTTCTCTTGCAGGTCTCTCCCTATATCCAGATAGTGAACTATAGCTCCAAAGTAATCTGATCTCCTACTTGGAGCATCCGCAACTACGTTATACTTGCCCTTGACTGGTTTGAGCTCAAAGTCATATTGATCTATCTCAGCGGCCCACCTAGTTAGCTTAGGTGTCATCTTGGCCTGCGTTGTCAGCCACCTAAAAGTCTCGTGGTCTGAATAAACTTTGAAGTGCCTCCCAAGTAGGTAATGTTTCCAGTGCTCTAAGGCGTCCGTGGTGACGACAAATGGCAAGGACGGATCTGCCACCTTGAGGACAGGATACTGTATCAACGCTCGCTTTAACTTCTTAAGAGCGGATGTACAATCTTTATCCCATTTCCAGATTGCATCCTTCTTGAGCAACCTGCGAAGGGGAGCGGTGATAGTGGAAAAGTTCCTTACGAACTTCCTATAATAATTAGCTAGGCCTAGAAACGATCACAATTTTGTCATCGTGCGGGGCGTCGACCAATCTCTAATCGCCGCTATCTTGCTATCCTCAGGCTTAATGCCATCTCCGTCTAAGACGTGGCCCAAGCACAAGACTTGTGTCTTGGCCCACTCACACTTCTTCGCATTGATCTTGAAGTTAGTCTCTCTCAACTTCTCCGAGACTTGCCTCAAATGACCCTGATGCTCTTGGAGGGTCTTATTGAAAACTAATATATCGACTAGATAAACTACGACGAATTTTAACCACGGCCTAAACACATCATTCATACAACGTTGGAATGTGGCTGGCGCGTTGGTTAGTCCAAAGGGCATCATGATGAACTCATAATGGCCATATCTAGTCCGAAAGCAGTCTTGTACTGGTCATCAGGGTGAACCTCTATCTGATGATATCCGGACTTCAAGTCTATCTTCGAGAAATACCTACAGTCCTGCACCCGATCTAAGAGATCGTCTATCCTGGGCAGTGGTTCGACATTCTTCACTGTGATAGCATTCAAACCCCTATAGTCTATACACATACGCAACTCTCCGTCCTTTTTGGAGACAAACAAAACAGGTGCTCCGAAACGAGACAAACTGGGCCTAATCCAACCCTTTTCGAGGAGCTTGTCCAACTGCCTACGCAACTCCTCTAACTCCCTTGGGGACATTCTGTAAATCGCACCCTTAGGAGTTCTACTGCCAGGCTCTATCTCTATACGATGTTGGATTGGCCGCGACACTACCCCTGTCGGCGGCTCTGCTAAGTCCTTCAACTCTTCCAGCAGCTTGGCAATGGTTGGGTCCATTGGCTTATCCTCTTTAGGCTCAGTGACAGGCCTTACGTAAGCTACAAAGACCTGCTCTTCTAATTGCTCCTTCTTTACTAACCGCGCGAACGTGGGAGCACGGAGGCAGCAATGTGCCAGAGAGTCGTCTACTCCTGACATGTGATACAGGCGAGCCGTCTTGACTTCGCCTGACGGACTGGGAAGCCTACACTCATGCTCTCTCAAATGGAGTGTGGCCCCTGCTGCCTCTCCCAAGTCCATACCTAGGACCATGTCGAAAGGGAGGTTGTCCTCGACAAGGAGAGTCAGGGAATGGAGTACTTTCTCTACTTTACCATCCTTCTCTAGGCGAAGATACGCCTGGACTCCCTCGATGTAATCCTCAACACGCATTGTGCGGTTGTCTGCGAGGATACTAACTATGGGGTCTTTCAACTTTTGGACTTTCAAGCCTAGCCTTAGCTTCTTCAGCGCTCTGCGCCTAATATAGCTACGGGTAGCCCCTGTGTCTATAAGAGCCCCTACTCTGTTTCTAAAAACTTCTAAATCTACTAACACGAGCTGTCCTTTGCTCTCCTTCTTCATCTTGGCCCAGACCGGCATCCTCTCCTTCAACTCTTCTGCCAGACATGTGAGGGAAGTGCCTAGAGAGACTCTAACACAGACCGTCTCTGGACAACTAACTAGGCACTGGCCTGCAACCTCTGCCATAGGCTCATGTGGTGTGGGAGTTTCCTGGTGGTGTGCGCACACTTCCCCACATGGCCTAATGGTAGGGGCAGTTGCAACCCCTACCGACGACTTCCTTTTGACCCTTGGGCAAAAATCGGGTTTCCCAATACTTTGGACAATATTTAATGATGTGGGCAGGGTCACCGCAATAGATGCACTGCCCCTGCTCCATCCGCTGCTGCCATACTCTCTGGTCCAAGCCCAAATCTTCCCAAGGTCGGCCCTGTGGCCAACCTGGGTGCCAACCTCCTCTCCTTTGAGGTGATCCTCCACCTCTGCGCTGTGGTGACCGACTGGGTCCCGAGCGATTCGACGGGGGACCTTGACCCCTACCTCCCTCTTGGCGGTTCCTTTGGCCGCCAACCCCCTGTGCGCCCGGACCTCGACCACCCATGGCCCGGCCCCCTTGGCCCTGGTCTCCTCCTCTACCTTGCGGCCTCCCTCCAGCCGCGTACGTCCTCCCCTGACCTACACTACTGTCATCCTGCTCTAGCCCCCACTCGATATGGCTGTAGGGGACTTCATCCGTACCACCGTCATCTAAACTAAGCATAATGTGATCCTTTGCTCTAACCTGACCCGAGATGGTACGTCCTTTCCGCTTATTTCCTTTATCCAAAATCCTTGTGCCAGAAAGTGGAAACTGGCATGGATTTCGCCTCGAACAGGACCACTTCTCTACTTAACGCATCATACGTAATGTTGGCTTGTTGGGTCTTTTCAAAGAAATGCCCTCGCAGGGGCTCCGACATGGCACGATAAATAGGTTAACTAACTGGGTCTCAGAGACCCCATGGTCCGGGATGGCTACCAAGTCGTCCATAACTGCTTTGAGTGCTCTCGCACTCTTCCACTATCGTGAGTGGATTGTCTGCAGTTTGTCAGAGGCCCTGACACCTCGTGTGAAAGGTGTGAAGAGGGGTGAGTTTAGAGTATGCAACCATATTGTGTTCACAATCGGCTGCTCGTGCGAGGGACCTAACAAAACTGGCCGCTTCATCTTTTAACGCATGGAAGGCCATGAGGACTTGTTCCCCTGGCGCTATGTGTTGCAAATACACGTATGTGTTGATGCTGGCCTCCCAGTTATCAAAGTTTTCGTCCTTTTTCCCGCCATAAGAGTCAGGAAACTTGAGATTGACAGACTCTTTGCGGGGACGCGCTTCGGCCTCTGCAGCGGCCACTACTTTGGCGCCCTCAATGGTGCCTGTGCAGAATTTCTCTGCGCTGTCCTTTAGCTTTCTAACTTCTGTCCCAACATGTGTCATTACATCCTGCGCGAAGTCCCTAAAACCAGACCGGATGGAGTGGAGGGCCATGTCTTGGCCCCTAACAAACTGATGATGTTCGGTTCAGGCCTTGCCTAGGAGCTCGATGCTCCCAAGGATCTTGTCTAATTTAGCCTGAATGTCAGGCTGACCCTCTACTTCTTGTCTACATGTCAGTAAACCTTCCACTTCTTTGGCCATCCTGTTGGCTTCCTCTGTTCTCCTCTTCTTCTCCCTTGCCAGGCGCAACTTCCAGTCCAGCCTCTTCTCGTTCTCTATGGCTTGACGTTGTAGGGGATCACTCGTCGCCTCGATCTCCCTAATTGCTGCTTCCTTCTCCTCCTGGGGTATATACAACATCGCCTCTTCGTCCTCTCCCAATGATAAATTAGCCACCCATTCTTATATCCTCTTTTCCACCCACGGGTCATCCTCCTTCGTGCCACTGCTTCCGTCTCTTTCCCCCAGTCTTCTTCTTCTGAGGGGCTCTTCTTCTGGCTGCTCTTCCTCCTCTTCAACCTCTTCTTCTACTGCAGCTCTCATCTTCTCCTCCTCTTCTTGCTGCAACTTTTTCATCTCCTCCGCCAACTTCTTCTTTTTCGCCGCCTGCTCCTCGGGTATCATCTTCATCTTTGCCTGCCTAAGGAGCTCCTTCTTCTCCCTTCTCTCTCTTAGGATGGCGGCAGCCTGCTCCTCTTGAGCCTTACTATACGGCATGGTGCTCTTCCCATTGCGAGTATCAACCATGGTGATAAGTGCACAACCGGACAACGGTTCCAGACCTCACCACTTAGACCTCGGCTCCTTGACTGACACAACCTAAGACTGACTCAATCTAAGGACCACAAAATCCTGATAGGACCCTGTCATGGTCTCTAGCCTAGACCTAAACTATGGCTGTCACTACAGGACTTATTGCTGATCAGGAGGCATTTAAGGAGATCCCCCGTAACTCCTCAGGAATTATTTAACGTCGCAGACAGGACGACGCGATCAGCAAGTCCTCTCAAGACTTTGACAGCCCGTTGTGCAGCCCACAGCTCAGATTTTGGGCCTACCGTGCCACACCGAGCAGCCCGCCGGTCAGTACCGGTCCTTGAGAGGGTTCATGTCCTTCGGGACAGTCGAGTCGTCAGACACAACCTTTAGCCCTACTCGGCCCGTGTGGGTTTGGTCAAGAAGGCCCTATCCTTCATACACGGAGTTCCTAACACCTGGACAGAAGAGACTCAATGCAGAAAGAAGAGGCAGACAGACTCAGCAAGTACCATAGGGTGAGTGCACATCCATAGGGCGAGGGGATAGGCTGAGGGCTTGGCGAGAATATACCAACTCCAGCTTGGTCAAAGTTGCAGTCAACAGCCTTGGTCAACACTGGTCAACCCCCTGGTCAACGCTCCGGTCAACCTTGGTCAACACCTTGGTCAACGCCCGGGTCCATGCTCGAATCAACTTCGGTCAACTTCGTGGTCAACACTTTGGTCAACCTCCAACTCGGCTATGGCTGCCGCGTTCTTCTTCCTCACCACCCTTCTTCTTCTTCCTCCTTTCTTTCTCCTTCCTCGCCTGGTTCTTCTTTCACCCCAGCTATGTCTTCTCTCTTCTTCTTCGTCCCTCCTTCCTCTTCCTCAACTATGGCTTCTCTTTTCTTTCGTCTCTCCCTCCTCCTTTCACTCGTCTTCTTTCTTCTTCCTCCGTGTCCGAGCTCCGCGGCTATGGCCGCCTTCTTCCTTCTTGGACCGCACAACCAATCTTGTATCACTCCTCTCTCTCTCTCTCTCTCTCTCTCTCTCTCTCTCTCTCTCTCTCTCT